ATTGGGCGTAGTTATACTAATACCTACCATTTCAAAATCCTCCAAACTACTTCAAAATATTTCCCTTATACTATTAACCCACTACAATATTTTTTCTAAGCCATGGATAACACTACTCAATCATCAACTATTTGTGTCCCTATTTTCAATGGTGAAAATTATGATTTCTGGCGTGTTAAAATGGAGACATATTTTTCATCTCAAGATTTATGGGACATAGTAGAAGAAGGCTTCATCGCTCTCATAGATACTTCAGCTCTAAATGCAGCTCAAGAAAAAGAGTTGAAGAAAAATAAACAGAAAAATTCAAAGGCATTGTTCACCTTGCAACAAGCGGTGACTGATGCAATTTTTCCAAGAATTATGGGAGCTAAGACTGCAAAAGAAGCGTGGAAGACGTTGCAGGAGGAGTTTCAAGGAAATGACAAGGTACGTGCTGTCAAACTTCAATCTCTAAGAAGAGATTTTGAACTATTGAAGATGAAGGAGTCTGAGACAGTTAAAGATTACTATTCTAAAGTTAAAGAAATAGTTAATCAAATGAGAGCTTTTGGGGAGGATATTCTTGACAAGAAAATTGTTGAGAAAATTCTAATTACTATGCCCCCAAAATTTGACCTAATCGTGACAACAATAGAGGAAACCAAAGATCTGTCTACTCTATCAGTGACGGAACTAGTGGGCTCTCTTGAAGCATATGAGCAAAGACTACATAGGCATAAAGAAGATACACTTGAAAATGCCTTTCAGTCAAAGCTCAAATTTAAGTCCCAAAATAAAGAAAATGGAGGAAAGAAAAATTATGGTGAAACTTCCAAAAGAAGAGAAGTTCCTAGAAATTTCCAAAAGAATAATCCAGATAAAAATATTCCATGCAATATATGCAAACGACTAGGCCACGCGGAGAAAAGTTGTTGGTACCGTAATATGCCACAATGCAATCATTGCAAGAAATTCGGGCACATAGAGAAACACTGTCGCAACAAAAATAGGCATCAAGCTAATATCGCAGAGGAGCATGATCAAGAACAATGTATGTTCTATGCCACTCAAGAATCAATAAAAGAAAAAGGAGGAAGTTGGTACTTGGATAGTGGATGTAGCAATCACATGGCCAAGGATGAACTATTTTCAAAAGCATTGATGAGTCAGTCAAAGTCAAAGTTCGACTAGGAAATGGAAGTGTGGTTGAGTCAAAAGGAAAAGGCACCGTCGTGGTAGAGACAGATAAAGGTACGCGACTCATCCATGATGTCTTACTAGTTCCCAGCCTAAAAGAAAATCTTCTAAGCATTGGGCAAATGATGGAGAGAGGCTACACACTTCACTTTGAAGGAGGTGTATGCAAAATCTTAGACAACAAGAATAAAAGTGCCGAGATAGCCGAAGTGAAGATGAATAAGAGCAATAGAAGCTTCTCGCTAAATTTAAAATATACAACTAATATTGCCATGAAGGTACAAGTTGATGATTCATGGCTTTGGCATCGAAGATTTGGCCACTTCAACACACATGCCTTGAAGTTGTTACATGATAAGAACATGATGAGAGATCTTCCAAGCATAAAGGATAACAATGAAGTGTGTGAAGGATGTCTCCTTGGTAAGCAACACCGATTTCCATTCTCAACAAGCGGAGCATGGAGAGCAAAAGATCTGTTGGAGCTGATACATACTGACGTCTGTGGACCGATGAGGACGCCATCACACGAGAACAACAGGTACTTCATACTCTTCATTGATGACTTCTCTAGAATGACATGGGTCTATTTCTTGAAAGAAAAATCAGAAGTTTTTGGAGTATTCAAAAGGTTCAAGGCCCTTGTTGAAAATCAAAGTGGAAAGCGGATAAAAGTACTAAGAAGTGATCGCGGCAAAGAGTACACATCCCGCGAGTTTGATAGATTTTGTGAGGATGAGGGCATAGAGCGACAACTTACAGTCGCATATTCTCCTCAGCTAAATGGTGTGTCTGAGAGAAAGAATCGCACAGTTATGGAGATGGCTAGATCGATGCTCAAAGAGAAGCGACTACCTAACACATTCTGGGCTGAAGCAGTCTACACTGCTGTTTACTTACTCAACAGATGTCCAACTAAATCTGTACAAGATAAGACTCCAGTTGAGGCTTGGAACGGGAAGAAGCCATCAGCAAAGCACCTAAGGATCTTTGGATCTATATGCTACATTCATATTCCAAACGTGAAGAGGCATAAGCTTGAAGACAAGACTATACGAGGTATCTTCTTGGGGTATAGTACAATATCTAAAGGCTATCGTGTATATAACTTGCAAACAAAAAAACTCATCATCAGTCGAGATGTTGAAGTTGATGATAATGCTTCTTGGAATTGGGATGAAGAAAAAGTGGAGAAGAATGTTCTTATACCCACTCAACTACCTCAAGAAGAAGCTGAGGAAGAAGTCCTAGGTGAACTTTCTTCACCTCCACCACAACAACAAGCTCAAGAACTATCATCACCAGAGTCTACTCCAAGACGAGTAAGATCTTTGAGAGACATATATGAAACCTGCAACATGGCCATACTCGAACCTGGAAGCTTTGAAGAAGCATCAAAGCATGAAGTATGGGTCAAGGCAATGGAAGACGAGATAAAGATGATCGAGAAAAATAACACATGGGAGTTAGTAAATCGTCCCCATGGAAAAGATATCATTGGGGTTAAGTGGGTCTATAAGACAAAGCTCAATCCTGATGGCACCATACAGAAACATAAGGCGAGACTAGTAGCTAAGGGTTACTCACAACAACCTGGGATTGACTACAATGAGACATTTGCACCAGTAGCTCGTCTTGATACCATTAGAGCTCTAATAGCTCTTGCGGCACAAAAAGGATGGAGTATACATCAACTGGATGTCAAATCTGCCTTCCTCAATGGTGTACTTGAAGAAGAGATCTATGTGGAGCAGCCACAAGGATTCATATCTGAAGGCGAAGAGAGCAAAGTGTTAAGACTAAGAAAAGCACTATACGGTTTGAAGCAAGCTCCTCGAGCATGGTATAGCAGAATCGATCAATATTTCATGGATCAAGGATTTAGGAGAAGCAAAAGTGAGCCCGCATTATACATCAAGTCTCAAGGTCAGTACACTCTCTTACTCTCTCTATATGTAGATGACCTTATATACATGGGAAACAATACTAAGATGATAAAGGAGTTCAAAGAAGACATGATGAAGACCTTTGAGATGACCGACCTTGGTTTGATGAGTTACTTCCTCGGTATAGAGGTAAGCCAAAGAAATGAAGGGATATTCATCTCACAAAAGAAATACACAGAAGGCTTACTTAAGAAATTCAAGATGTACGGTTGCAAACCTGTCGCTACCCCACTCATAACAAATGAGAAACTACAAAAGAATGATGGAGCACCAGAAGCTGATGCATCCAAATATCGAAGTTTAATTGGAAGCCTCCTATATTTGACAGCTACGCGGCCAGACATAATGTATGCTACAAGTCTTCTATCAAGATTCATGCAAAGTCCAAGTCAAATACACTTTGGAGCGGGAAAAAGAATTTTGAGATATCTACAAGGAACAAAAGAGTTAGGTATATGGTACTCTACCGAAACTAACTCAGGATTACTTGGCTACACCGATAGTGATTGGGCAGGTTCGGTAGATGACATGAAGAGCACCTCTGGTTATGCTTTCTCACTCGGATCAGGAATTTTCTCTTGGGCGTCGAAGAAGCAAGCTACGGTTGCACAATCCACAGCAGAAGCAGAGTACGTGGCAGCTGCTGAAGCAACGAGTCAGGCTATATGGCTTCGTAGGATACTTGAAGACATGGGAGAAATCCAGGATCAGCCAACTAAAATCAATTGCGACAACAAATCTGCAATTGCAATGGCAAAGAATCCAGTGCATCACAGTAGAACAAAACATATAGCAATCAAGTATCACTTTATAAGAGAAGCTGAAGCAACTAAAGAGATCAAACTCGACTACTGTAGAACAGAAGATCAAATTGCAGACATATTCACGAAGGCGTTGCCGAGACCAAGATTTGAAGAGCTACGAGCTATGCTTGGAGTCAAAGAAATTTGTATCAAGGAGGAGTGTTAAATTTGCTACAAATTTCTAGAGAGTTCTTAAATATAATATGTAACAAAATATAGAACATCCTAGAAACTATAAGGTGTATGAATATGGTAGAATAATCTAGATATATAAGTATATGGCAAAGATAGAAAAATCTAGATTTATCATGATAGTAACCTATCATGAGAACTCTAGAATATTCACCACTATTGAAAGGTTGGTGACTTGAGCCTATAAATAGGCATTTGCTACATTGTAAACAATCATCCAAGAAATTAATCAAAAACCTTCTTTCTAAACTACTCTCTAAAACTATCTTCTACCAACTATCATCTAAACAATTCCTAACAAATACTTTTATCACTTCCAATATCTGATGATGATGATGAATAAATACAGTATGATACTAAAGTGTATTGTTTAGGGTACATCCCATATTTAAGTTAGGTGCAAAAGATAGAGGCAGTAATGGTAACATTAAATTCATCAACACGTACTACAAGAAGAGCAGCCCTGGTTCCCTAAAAAATAGTAGTAGTAATTTTTAGTTATAACAATTTAAAAAAGGTGTTGGGTTGATAAATGAAATTTTTGTGTTTTAAGAAATCTGAGTGGAGATTAATATCTACTGCACAACTAAAAAGAAGAATGCCTTTGTCATTTAAAGATATTTCATACCAATATTTGAGTGTAATTTCCCAATACTTGATAATTAATTTTAATTTAAAAAATTGATAAAATGCATAATGTAAAATTTTTATTAAAAATGACACGATTAACCAATGGATAATCATGTTAGCACAAGACAGAAAATTACATGACAAAAGTATAATAAAGATGAAAATCAAAAGCATCCTTGGCAAATGGCACACTGAAAGTTTCATCTGTTCTCCCCGTGAAACATTCTATGAATAATATATCTTGTGAAATTCAAGAGCTTGGTTTCAATGTGTTTCCAATATCAATCACAAATCGATATCTCACATCTCCTTTAGCAAGACGCTCCATTGCAGTGTTAACATGATCAATCGGAACAATCTCAATATCAGGTTTCACATCGTGTTTTGCAGCAAAGTCTATCATTTCTTGTGTCTCTTTTATCCCTCCGATCATACTCCCGCCTAATAATTTTCTCCCTGCCAATAACATGAATTAATACAAAGTGAGTATAAAATTCTTCATGATTTCAAATATATCCATTCTATAATTTATAGAAATACTTTTCATATGCTTACCTCCAAGTAAAGCGTATACAGGAAGATCTACAGGCTTTACTATTACACCAAGCATAACAAGCTTTCCATGAGATTTCAATAAACCAATCAGTGGTAAGATAGGATGACCAGCTGAAACTGTGTCAATAATACCATCCAAAGTACCCATTGCAGCCTACAAAATCATTAATATTAGTTTTTCAATGATGCATTTCACAATTAACTGAATAATATATTGTATTGTACCTTCAATTGATTCGGGTCACGACTTATAAGAAATGAATCAGCACCCAAGTGTTCTATTGCTTCATTTTCTTTGTTAGGCGATGTACTAATTACAGTCACATTAGCACCAAAAGCTTTGGCAAATTTCACAGCCATATGGCCGAGTCCGCCGAGACCAACAACGCCTATACGCAGACCAGGTTTGTCGAGTCCGTAATATTTAAGAGGGCTATATACGGTGATACCAGCACATAGGAGAGGACCAGCAACATCAAGAGGTAAGCTATCAGGAATGAGGACTACAAAATGCTCGTCTGCAACCATTGAGTCGGAGTAACCTCCATATGTGACGGTTCCATCACGATATTTCCCACCACATGTGGTTGTATACTTGGGGCAGTAATTTTCAAGATCATCATCACAATTTTGGCATGATCGGCACGAATCGATCATGTAGCCCACACCTACATTATCTCCAACTTTGAACTTATCTACTTTGCTTCCAACCTCAGTTACTACACCCACAAGCTCGTGCCTGTATATATTACATCATTAACACAAAGTAATGAGAAATCATATGTTATCTTCTCGCTTATTTTAAATACTTTTATATAAGTTGGTTAGACGGAGTTAGATCTTAATAGTAAAATCTTTGTCAAAAAAATGAATGTATCTAAACACATATATACATCTAACAACATAGATAAATTTAGCAAGATAGGATTATCATATCTAGGGTTCAATTTCCACTGTCATTTTGGGTTCAATATAAAAGTTTAAAATCATACCCAGGAACAAGTGGATAGATGGAAGTTCCCCATTCATTTTTGGCCATATGAAGATCAGAGTGACATATCCCACAATACAATATCTTGAATGCTACATCTTTCTCACCTGTTTCCCTGAAAAAACATAATGTACCAAAATTGAATAAATTAGTAACCAAAAGAATGATGCAAGAAATGAAGAAGAGGTGATAAGTGAAGTGAACCTTCTGGAGAAATTGAAAGGTGAGAGAACACCAGAAGGATCTCTAGCTGCCCATCCAAAGGCCTTCTTAGGATGCTCTACTACTTTACTTTCTGCTGCCATTACAAACTGAGTTACACTTCAATGATGATCTGCTCAAAATCAGGATGTGTTATTGAGTATTTATTGAGAAAAAGTACGAAGCATTGAGTTATGGTTATTATTACTGGACCTACTTTATAGATGAAGTATTTATAAGGGCTGTCAGGGTTGTTGTATCATGTGCCCACGCATTTGATCAATGTCGTCTATGACTCTATGTTGGTTCATGATGAGAGGAGATGAGATAACATTGGCATGTGTTCCATTTTACTTCTTTCGACCGATAAAAAGTATAATATTTAAGGGTTTAATAGTAGTGCACCATCAATGTAAGACAGATTTACACATTCAATCAATTAAAATTTTATAATTCTCCTATAATATCAGTATTTTTAAAATAAAAATATGTTTTATTTTAATATATGGTTGTTATTAATTGACACTAAAATATTTTACACACGTCAATGCATTTCCTTTTTTCTCAATATTTAAACACTGCGCAGTTCTTAAAAAAAATTATCAATCTGTTAATTTTGATGATAAAAATAATAATAGTATTTACTATAATATTTTTATTAATTACACATTTTGTCCTAAATTATAAATCACTTTGTCAAAAAAATTTATCCCAAATAATAAATTACATTACATTTCCAATGGAATATTAATGACATTTTCTCCAATATACTTTCAAATATTTATTATTACTTATTCATTCAACTCTTTTAATTTCTCTCCCTTGTATAACTATGAAGGACATTATTTTAAAGTAATACATAACTATGAAGGACTACCTTATTTCCTTTTTAAGTGTCATTTTTTTTATACTTTTTACACATGTAAAGACAACTAATAATTGTTGTTACTTTTTAAACGATGATTATTTTTTTCCTACAATACCCTTAACTTTTTTTTTTAAATCATTTAACTTTTTTCTCCCTATAATAAATGACTAGGGGTAATTTTGACAATACTACAATCAACACTACTCCCTCCGTTTTAAAATGACATGGTTTTAAGAGAAAATTTTTGTTTGAAAATGAATGACATTCTCACTTTTCAATGTAGTAATAATTACTATTTTTGCAATTGTGTCATATAATTATTATTTTGTACACTATTTCCAACACATTAATAAGACTAATTTAGTAAAAGTGTAATATTTTATGACAATATTATTATATTTTTTAATCTGTGTGAAAAAATCTTAAACAACAGTCATTTTAAAACGGAGGGAATAGATTGAACTTTGAAATGACACTTAAAAAGAAATATTTTTTTTTAAAAAAAAAATGACACTTAAAAAGGAACGGAGGGAGTAATTAAGTTATTAATTCGTGTGAAATGTCTAAAACGTCTTATAATTTAGGACGGAGGGAGTAGTTAATAGAGTAGTTGAATAAAACGAAAGTTAATAAATAGATGTATAGTAATGAAAAAATAATAATAAATATCGCATTAATATTATAAAAAGACAATCATTTTGATATAGAGAAAAAAAGTATAAATGAGGCATTTTTTATGAGACGGAAGGAATATGTTTTATATTTGGAGGGGTAAAAGTGATTATAGAAGGGATAAATTAATTTTAATATGTGTTTTCTTTTATAAAAGAATTGATTTTGGTTTTATATTATATTATAAGAAAATTATATTAATGGGAGTATAGCGGGTACTCAGAGAAGAAGACGACAATAAAAGGTAGCTTCAGTAAACTAAGTTAATATAATGTATAAGATTACAAAACCAATCTGACAAACTAGATACTACTATGCCTTTGGATCTAGCACAAAATCAATCCCACTAAAGAGATTTAGTAGTTGCCGCTACACGAAAAATAATAAGCGAAGACACAGAGTCGCCATCGAACTTTATTTATCCCAACAGGGAAAGGAAAACATCGAGAAAACCTTTGAAGGGAGGCAAAATGGTCTCGCAACCAAATTCGGAGTTCGGGAGTCGATTACGCAAGAGGAAGGTATTAGCACCCGTCGTGTCTGTTGTACTCAACAGGATCCACTCTTGTTGTTATAATCAAATGGGAGTGTATATCTAATACTTACTTGCTAAGGGAATGCATGAATGAAAAGATAAAACAAAATGGGTCTCGCCAGGATCTTGCAATCCTATGTCTATGTATTCCCTCCTGTAATGGGAAAGTAAGAGCAATCGCAGTTTGGAGGACTACGGTAAAAACAGAAGGTTGCTTGCCAAGGATTAGGGTCCTTGTGCTTACGTATTCTCAACAGGAATGAGAAATCAGAGCATCCGTAGTTCATGGTGTAACACCCCAATCTAACCCGACGGATAGTTAAGGAAAACAGAATCAGAGTGCAGCAAATTTTGTAAACATGACGGTCGTAAGGAAGTTGTGACGACCGTCACATCAGCAAATTCTGGGCGTTACAATTTCAACTCATAGAAACATACATTTCACAACTCAATTAGACATCACGCATTTAGTAATGATACATAGCACAGAAGCCTGGATGAACATACAACAATAACTTGATTTACATTTTGATTACAAGGCATCTTATTAATTTGCAGCGGAATATAAAACATTTCCAACATTTAGCATGATTAAAGCAAGACCATGAAACTTGCAACAAAACTCCATTAAAATTCAACAAGTAATTATCTTGCATTAATTCAACATAAACAACGAGTTTCAACCATAAAAATCAGCACTACTAATTCATCGGTATAGTGCATCCAACCAAAATTTGACACTTAACAGCAGCTACCAATTTAATGAAAAATACTTGATAAAATTCAGCAACAAGGAAATTAAATAAAAGCAATAACATTAATCGTTCATTCCCCCAAGAGTGCTACGTATCAGAGCGACCAATAATTTAAACGGAAAACTACACTTATTCTAGATTACCTGCAAATTACCACCAACGGAGGTAACATACAACGTAAAGGGTGAGATATCAACAACATAACATAAGGCATGATAAAAGTCATGTCAGAATATTATCACAGCATTATAATTCCAGCAGTTCGCATAAATATTAGTAATAATAAACTACAACCACCCTTTATTCATAACCACAACAATTATCATCATATCTCAGCAACTCATCAAAACCACTCAACAATGCAACTCAACAATGCGACTCAACAATGCAACTCAACTGTGCGTATGCATGTGGTACCATTTTGGGAGACAACACTCCACAATAATTCGGGAGACAACTCTCCACAATAATTCGGGAGACAACTCTCCACAATAATTCGGGAGACAACACTCCACAATAATTCGGGAGACAACTCTCCGCAATAATTCGGGAGACAACTCTCCACAATCATTTTATTTTGTCATTAAAGACACAACTGTCGCCAATCCAGGCCAAATGATATGCTATGAGATGCAACTATTATGGACTATAACACAACAACAACAACTGTGCAACAACCGTGCAACAAGGCATCACGCCTACAACCAATTATCCATAACAGAAACATCACATTTCGCATGCATCATGTACTCACCACTTCAATCTTTTCATATCAGAGAACTACCAACAGTATCGTTCCTACGAATAAGACTCTAACACATTTTCGCAGAGACAATTAAAAACAACCTCGTCTCTACAATTGAGAACTCAACAACATTTTCATATACCTTCATACGGGTAATATAACTACAACTTACTCACATAATCCAAGGAGAATATTATAATAACATTTTCTCAACAGTGGCATAACAACTTCATATGCATCAAGTATTCATCATTTCAATCTGTTCATGTAGGGGAATAATAACAACATACTTTCGACAATTAAGAATTCAGCACATTATTGTAAGGACAACATTACAACTTTTACTCACTAAATTAATTATAGTTCCTGAAAAGCTTCGTTAACTACGGGGCAACTAATCTTGCCTCATTAAGGGCAACCATACAGCATCGTACAACACTGACGATATAACACATTCATTCCTACACAGAAAAACCTCGTCCCTAACATTTATGAGTCACGGGAACTATATCTATGATTCGATTCCCTACCTGAAGTCGATCAAGTAAGAGCCTAATAACAACCTTTTCTCAACAAATGGGAAATTAGCGCGTGTAGGCGCCGATTCCCAACATTACTACATAAACTAATGACTTAAACACTAATGCAGGCGTAGACAAACATTAACCCTTAATATTTCTCAACCTACGGGAATATTTACCCTTAATATTGCTCAACCTACGGGAACATTACTCTGGGAACATTACTACGGGAACATTTCCACGGGAATATTACTACGGGAACATTACTACGGGAACATTTCCACGGGAATGTTACTACAGGAACATTTCCACGAGAACATTAATCCTTAATATTTCTTCAACTTACGGGAACCTTAATCCTTAATATTTAACGATCTACAGGAACATTAACCCTATGATTCAATTCCCTACATGAAATTGATCATACCCACAGTTATAGAATTGAACCCCACCCTTACCTTTGGATTGAGGACAACTCTAAACTTCTGGTTCCGGTTTGCTCTCCCGGTGACTCTTCTGCAACAACCTTCAATTCTCTCCGGCGGTTAATTCTTCTGTTCTTCCTTTCCCCACAGCCACGTCCTTTTTCCTCTTTTCTCAGCCTTTCTCTCCCAATTTGGTTTTCTGAGCAGTTTATCGTTCTTTTGCTCTTTCTCGCACAACTTCTCTAATAACTCCCTAATTCCCCTTATTCCATCCATTAATAATAATAATAATAATAATAATAATAATAATATAATATTACTACTAGTTATTAAATTATCATCATTATTAATTATATTATATTATTATCAATCTCAATGATTTATTAAATGGTTTCCTATACTTTAAGGACACCCACCAACGCTCTCAGACACACTCCCACATAAAGGCACATCAACAATTCATAAATAATTTAATTAAAATGAACGGGCGTTACACGTGGGACTACGGGTTATTGGGTGTTTCTTATGGACGATGTTAACATTCACATTCTAATAGTTAGGTTTTGCTGCTCGCACGTGAGAA